GAAATTTACAAAAATTCAAAACATTAATTTGAAATGGAAACGGTTAAATTTACTTGGAAAAAGTTAAATTTGATCTGGAAAAGGATGAATTTGACTCGGAAAAGGTTGAATTTGGCTTGGAAAAAATTCAATATGATATAGAAATATTATACTGAAAAGATCTAAAAAGTTAAAATAAATGGATATGCAACCGCGTTGTCATATTTTTTTTTTTTTGTATTTTTCAAAAGCTATGCCTTCGATAACATAGTAAGTGGCCTTCATTTCGGAAAAAATCGAAAATTGACAAAAATTCGATAATTGAATTTGACTTGGAAAAGGTTGAATTTGAAATGGAAAAGCTTTAATTTGAATTGGAAAAGGTTGAATTTGATTTGGAAAAGGTTGAAATTGATTTGGAAATGCTATATATAAGTGAGGAATAGAATGGTTTGAACTATTAAATTGAGTTAACCAATAAAAATTAAAAGTAAATAAAAATAAAAATAATAGAATGTAATATATAAGTTATTTTTCACTTATAAGATTTAAAATGTGTCTATATGATAAAGAAATGCAGTTTTTATCTACTTTATGATTAAAAGGATTCTGTTCTATGTGAATGTGGATGGATTCGTAAATGAGTATTTTTTCATGGTTAGGGACCATGGCAAGGATAGAGGTTTTTTCAAAATCAAATGAGTGGTTGAGGGTTAAGGCATGTTCTGATAGTTTGCAACCGGAAGGGTTCCGGGAAGTTATGGATGTTTTATGTTGGGAAATGCGGGTTTTTAGATGTTTTTTGGTTTCACCAATATAGGAGCTATTGCAATTACTAGTAGAACAAGGTATCCAGTAAGCTACATTAGATCGGTATTGTAAAAGTATGGGATCCTCCGAGTTGGTAAAAAGGAAAGAAAGTTTGTTATGGGACTAAAGGCCAAGACGTAAGTTGGTTATAGTCGAGAGATTTGTACATGAAAGGAGTGGTAGGTGATTGTGGGGAATTGGGAGAAGGGGAGGTAGTAATCTTTTTGGTTGTATAGCAGTTTGAAAGTTTAAATATGGTGTTGAGAGGAATATTATTGGAAAGGAGTATATTTTTGACACGCTGAGTGTTAGCTTGGTGGTATTCTGGATTAGATAAAGAGAGGGATCGGTGAGTAAGATTTTTGGCGGTATTGATTATTTGGTGATATGGGTGTTGAGAGTAAAAGTTGAGTAGTCTGCCTGAGTACGTGGATTTAGTGTACCAGTCAGTAGAAACATAGCCGTCATTGGTTTTTATTATTAGGAGGTCTAAGAAAGGGAATGAATTGTAAACTTCTTTCTCTATTATGAAACGGAGACGGGGGTGGTAAGAGTTAAATGAGGAAAGAATTTGAGGGATGCTGTCATTGTTAAGAATAAGGAGATGGTCATCGACATATTGTTTTAATGAAAATGATGAAAAGAAGGAATAACAGAGTCTAAAAGGTCATTGAGAACAATATTGGAAATATCTGGTGCTAAAGAATTGCAGATCCGGATTCCTCACCTTCCAAGGAAAATTCTTTAAACAGATTTCAGGTCTACTAGCTATGAGAAATTCTTTAGCACCAGTTATTTCCAATATTGTTCTCAATCACCTTCTAGACTCTGTTATCCCTTCTTTTTATCAAGACATCATTTTTATCAAACAATATTTTGATGACCTTCTCCTTGTTGAGGAATGTTGTCAGGGTTAAGATCCTGAAAACATCCCTCATTCAACTCTTACCACCCCTGTCTCCGCTTCACTATATAGAAAGAAGTTAACAATTCACTCTCCTTCTTATACCTCCTAACAATAAAAAACAATGACGGCTATGTTTCTACTGACTGGTACACTAAACCCACTTACTCAGGCAGAATACTCAACTTTTATTCTCAACAACCATATCACCAAAAAATCAATACCGCCAAAAACCTTATTCACCGATCCTTCTCTTTATCTGATCCACAATACCACCAAGCCAACACTCAGCGTGCCAAAAATATATTCCTTTCCAATAATTTTTCTCTCAACACCATATTTAAACTTTGAAACTGCTATACAACCAAAAAGAGTACAACCTCCCCTTCTCCCAACTTCCCACAATCACCTACCACTCCTTTCATATACAAATCTCCCCTATATTCCTATTCTCTTAGATAATATACATAAATTCGTTAAATCGACTATAACCAACTTACGTCTTGCCCTTAAGTCCCATAACAAACTTTTTTTCCTTTTTACCAACTCGGAGAATCCCATACTTTTACAATACCGATCTAATGTAGCTTACCGGATACCTTGCTCTACTCCTAATTGTAATAGCTCCTATATTTGTGAAACCAAACACCATCTCAAATCCCGCATTTCCCAACATAAAACATCCATAACTTCCCGGAACCCTTCCGCCTGCAAACTATCAGAACATGCCTTAACCCTCAACCACTCATTTGATTTTGAAAAAACCTCTATCCTTGCCATGGTCCCTAACCGTGAAAAAATACTCATTTCCGAATCCATCCACATTCACATGGAACAGAATCCTTTTAATCATAAAGTTGATAAAAACTGTATTTCTTTAACATATAGACACATTTTAAATCTTCTTCTTCTTCTTCTTTGTCTTCCTCTTATGCCATTAATTAGTGTCGAGGAGCCTCAACCAGTTCAGCCACTCTTCCCGGTCCCTGCTTAGTCGCTTCATCTCATTAAGGGTTTTTATTAATTTTAAATCTTATAAGTGAAAAATAACTTATATATTACATTCTATTATTTTTATTTACTTTCAATTTTTAGAGGAATGGAATGGCTTTCCGAGGAAGCAGTTTTAGGATCTGGGATGTAATTAGGTGGTGTCCAGGAGCTTTTCGGGTAGGTAACTTTTGAATGATATTGGATATTTCTGAAGGATGAAGGCTTTAGGTGGAAGAGACAGTTGGAGTGGGATATCCAGTTCTGCTTCAGTACATTCAAATGGTGTAATGGGCCAGCCCCCAGGGCCGCTACAAACCCTAAACGAGTTCAGAGAGGGTGTCTGGATCTGTATAGGGTTTGTAAATACGCTTTCCGATCGCTGGATAGCCTGAGAGATCCATTTATCGGCGTACTGGCACACCTTTCGTTTATAACTCATGGAACCTTGATAAAGTGAGGTTTAAAAGTCGCTTAATCAGTCCAAAAAAATATTTAGAAGAGGTGCAAAAAAATCAATCAATAGCCAAACTCTACTTATCTGGATAAAATACGGTCGTGAGGCCGATATATTGGTCTTTGAAATATCTGAATCTCTTCTAGTCAATTTAAGGGGAGGACCAAAAAAAAATTTAATAAAAATTTGTCTAATTCTATTAATTTCAAAATAATAAGATCTTAAGGCCAATATAGATCTTTGTTCAAATTTATGTTTATTTTGATCATTTGACGAATGATTGACGAATTTATCAGTAATAAAAATAATATTCAAAGTGAAAGAGGCCGATATATCGGTTAAGTAAAACCGAGTATTTAGGATATCCGTATCTGATGTAAATCTAGGGAGAGGATGAGCAAAATAAAAAAAAACTATACCAATCTGAATAAAATAAATTCAAAAGGCCGATATATCGGCCTTTGTTCAAATTTATGTTTATGCAGACCCATTGACGTTTGATTGACACATTTGTTAGTAATAAAAATACTACTCAAAGCGAAAAAAGCCGATATATCGATTAAAGGGGATGACCAGAAAATTTGGAAGATGTAGAAATGAAAAAAATTAATATAAAGTACTAACTTTGCCAATCTCAATAAAATAAGATCACAAGGCCGACATATCAGTCTTTTTTAAATTTATGTTTATGCAGACCCGTTCGCGTTTCATTGAAACATTTATTAGTAGTAAAAATAATATTCTATGTGTAAGAGACCGATATATCGGTAAAGTAAAACTCATTGAATTTTGATAAAGTAAGGTTTAAAGGTCGCTTTATCAGTAAAAAAAATTAAGATGGTTCGTTCGATAGGCTCGACACCTCGTTCTTCACCTGTCAAAAGAAAGCTTCGTCAATCTCGTCATACATCTCCAGTTATCCCTGTTAGGTCCGGCGAACATGGAAACCAGGCAGGTACATCATTAAAAGCGGCGATTTAAGAACCTCAGCGTTAACCAGTACATCGTCACAAGAGACAACTGAAGAATCTCCCTTTTTTACACTCAACCCCTGTCAGGTGCTTCAGAAAAATAGAGAGGTGATGGAGTCCGCTCCGATACCAAGAGACCCCCGACCTCCACCGATACTCGTCAAAAACATAAAGCAATGTCAGTTATTATGCACTCAACTAAATAAAATAACAGGCTCTGGAAGCTATTCATGCCTAAGCAGAACAAAGGACACCAAAGTATCACTAGATACAGCTGAAACCTACAGAAAAATCGTGAAATATCTAACAGAAACCAAAGCAGATTTTCATACGTATCAATTGCGCCAAGAGCGAGCTTTAAGAGTAATTGTAAGAAATCAACACCCCTCAAAACCAACTGAAGCAATAGAAGCAATAGAAGAAAAACTGAAAACTTTAGGTTTCACACAGTCACACAGCGGACTGGTATAAGACCATCATATGCCCAATTCACAAGAAAGGGGACAGCCTGGATTTACTACCGGAGCATCTCACTGCTGTCCAGTGCTTACAAGGTGCTGTCCAAAATTTTGTTCCTTATGCAACTACCCCATGCAAGGAGAGAGAGATAAGCAAATACCAGGCTGGCTTTATGAGAGGAAAGGGCACAACTGACCAAATGTTTTCCCTAAGGCTAATGCTGGAACGAACGCGAGAGTACATATCCAAATCCACAACCTGAGTACAGAATCGTGTTGTTAGGAGGTGGGCTGTTAATCTTAAATAGTACTTTAAACTTACTTATTATTAAAAGGTTCATGAATAAAACTTCTACAATCGTTTTGTACCTGATATATGTTTCCTTATAAATTACTTAACATTAAGGATTAATGATAACTTTAATCTGCAATTTTATTTGTAACATTTATTTCTCAATTTTTAACACACAAATATCATAAATAATGGATAAGCTTTCAGTTTTTATTTTGTTAAAAAATTGTTAGTCACTAACATAAGAATTAGTTTCTTCTTTTTTTTTTTTAAAGTTCTTCAGATGAAATTGGTTCTTCTTTCAGCTTAACAGAATTTTGGAATGTATTTTCCCTAATGGATTCACCACATATTTGTTGAAAATTGTTATTAATACTGTCCTCCAAACTTCCTTTCACATCACAAACTAAAGTTGATTTCTTAATACTTGATTTGTCTGTATTATGACTATCCTATAAAATAAGAAATAAATGAAATTATTAATTTGTTTCACAGATAAAACCAATAATTTGTAAAAGCTTTAGTAGTTTAAAAGGTCTTAAAATAGTTTTCTCAAATGTGCACCTTAAATTGTAAACAAATAAATAAATGTATTGAAATAAGTTGGGCTGTTATTTTTCCACTATATATTTATTCATTTAACAATATCTGTTTACAATGCAACCCCCATCTTCCAATGCCCATTACCCCATCTTCAAGCCAATTGATTTATTTTATCTCCTATTGCTGTATAATTAGATTAAATTATGTAAGTGATAATTTTATATATAATATAGCCATATATTTTTTTTTCCACCATATAACCATATATATGGTGGAAAAATAATATGACCCAAATTATTTCAATAATTAAAAATATTTTTAACCTTAAACAAAATAACTATAAATAAAAGCTCATTAGCTTTAAGCTCAAAGCACTTAAAACAAAGCTCATTTCTTTTCATGAAAACCTTGTAAGAGGTATATTAAATTAATACTGTATTTTGTATTCTGTTGAACATAATAAGACCACTTAAAATGCCTTTAGCTTGTTTCACCTCCACCTGTGCACAAGAAACACATCTGCTTAAATAAAAAGAAAAGTGTTATTACCTTTGTTTCCTTTCTAAAAGCTAAAGAATCAAATGTGGGGAAAAATAATCAATGAAATATTCAAATAAAATTAATAAATATTGAAGTATTTATAAAATAGTACTAATTAATACGGTAAAACAATCTGTCCATTAAATCTATATAGGTCTGGTACTCTGTTACATTGTGATTAACAGTCACTTTAATTATTATATAATTTATTTGTTATTAGTAGCTTTTGCCAAAATTCAAGAAGATCTAGATCGAATCAGTGTCTGGACAAACTTAAAGGGACTTGTGTTATACCATTATATATAGTTTTAAGTGTTTTGTTAATAGTTTAAAGTGTTTTGTTCATAGTTTAAAGTGTTTTGTTCATAGTTATAAGTGTTTTGTACATATTTGTGTCTGTTTTGTATATATCTTGTTTACTTAAGATGTTCTTTTTTTTTTTTTTTTTTTTATATAATTTTATCTATTGTTTCAAATAGGCCAGAAGTAGTCTTTTCTTGTTGAACGATTTTGTTATTCTAATCTCTTTCCCAGAATAAAGTTGTTTTATATGTATGTACATTAGGGATCGACCGATATCGAAATTTTGACCGATACCGATTATCGGCTGATACCGATATTATAAATCACATGGAATATCCTATTTATTGCTAAATTAAAGAATAAATAGACCATCTAAGCGTTGTAATTTTTGCTAGACTAGTGAGCTTCCTGGGAATTCCAAATTGAAGCATCATCTTTAATAATTCTTCTCTATCAATACTGTCTTATGCCTGCTTAAAATCGATAAACAAATTATGGAGGTCAAAGTTAAATTTATATCCCCTTTCAAGAATTTGTCTTATTGAGAATATTTGATCGATGGTTGATCCTCCAGGCCTGAAACCACACTGATAGTCGCACACTATGTGTTCGGAAAACTTTATCAGCCGTCGATTCAATAATACAGAAAATAACTTGTAGGCTGTATTAAGTAGTGCTATCCCTCCTTAATTACCACATGATAGTTTGTCGCCTTTTTTATGAATGGGGCATATCGCTGCTATTTTCCAATTTTCGGGGATTCTCTCTTCAAACCAAACATCCCACACCAATTGGAATATATATCTTTTCAAATCATCCTCTCCATTTTTGAGCATTTTTGAATGTATGCCATCAATACCAGGAGCCTTATTGTTCCTTAATTCGCCAATGATTTCTTCAACTTCTTCCTGTTCAGGCGGCTCTACTTGTTCATCTCCTTCCCCGAGTACACCCAGTCGGCATTTCAGCAGCTTGATTCTTTCCTCTCCATCTTGATGCTTGGGTTATACAAGAATTTCCCTGAAATATTCAGAACATCTCTGCAATATTTTAACAGGGTCAAATAAAAAAAATAAAAAATTACAATGCACTATAGCAGGATGAACATAAAAATACAGGGAATGTTATCAGAAGAATTTGCAGTAAATAGTGGCTTGAGGCAGGGAGACCCACTATCACCTGCCTTATTCAATTTAGCATTGAAAAAAGCTATTAGTGTAATACGAACCAACCCTAATGGAACAATTTATGATCGACTCACACAGCACTTGGCGTATGCGGATGATGTAGTCATAATGGCAAAAAGCACTGCGGCGCTAGGATGAGCTTTTGAGGAGTTCGAAAGAGAATCAGCAGAAGTAGACCTTCATTTACATGAAGGTAAAACAAAATATTTAAAAAGTTCCAGGCACCGACGACTGGAATACCATGATCTGCAGATTGGCGATCACAGTTTCAAAAGTACAATCACGTTCAAGTACTTGGGTGCAGTCATTACACATGGCAACAGCATAAAAGAAGAAGTGAATGCAAGGCTGGCTGCAGTTAACAAGTGTATTTATGCCATAAAAGAACGTTAAAGTTTAAAGCTCTTTCCGAAAAAGCAAAACTCATGATTTATGAAACCATACTGTGACCCATAGTTACATATGGCAGTGAATCATGGGTTTTGACCAGTGAAAGTGAAAGGAAGCTCAATGTCTGGGAAAGAAAAATACTCCGGAGGATATATGGACCAATAAGAGAAAGTTGCGGTTAAGAATTAATTACGAGCTCCTTGCAATGTATGACAAACAAGAGCGGGTATCATTTGTGAAAAGGGCCCGCCTGAGATGGCTCGGACACGTGGATAGGATGCCAGAGAATAGAAATCCAAGACGCCTGCTATATGGAAAATTTGGAGGAAAGCGATACAGAGGAAGGCCAAGAATGCGATGGTTGGATGATATTGAAGATGACCTCAAGTTGCTTCAATTAAGAAGATGGATGACGCGAGCGAGAGACAGGAATGACTGGCTTGGAGTCCTTGAGAAGGCCTAGGTTAGGAACTTGACTAATTTCAAGACAAAAAGTGCAATAAAAAATTCAATAGAATTAATTGACATCATAAAAGATATCCCAATTTCAAACTCATTCATTCTGGTTAGCTTCGACGTTGTAACTTTGTTTACTAGCACTCCTTTAATAGAATGCGAAAAAGTATATGAATTATTATTGTATAAAAGTAAAGTTTACAAAATGGACGTTTTGCCGGGTTGGGGATGGGCTCATCATTATCTCCACTCAGTGCTCAACTCTTTATTGACAGTCAAGAATAAAAACCTATTCTCTATGGAATTTTTTAAAACGCATGTTAGACAGTGGTCCAGATATGTTGACAATGCTTTCTGTAAATGGAAAGGGAAGATAGACGACTTAAATCAATTCGTTACAGATATCAATAATATATATCCCAATATAAAATTCACAATAGAAATAGGTCCAAATAAAATTAATTTCCTTGACTTGTCCATTTAAATTGCCAATAATTTATTAACATTTGACATTGACAGAAAACCGACATAATAATACCGTTTGATTCGTGTCACCCTTGGTCGCAAAAACTTAGCTAATAGATTACAAAAAATAACTTTACCCCTCAACAAAATTAACAAAGAAAAGGCAATAATTTATCAAATTGCAACAAATAATGGTTACCCTACAGAAATTGTTAAAAAAATAATTATAGACAAAATATTTAGAAAAACTGAAAGACAAAAATTTGAATAGGTCCTGATACTTATTAAATAGTATTTATAGTATTTTTAAAAGATAGAAAAACTTGTGGCGCTTAAACTTTTACAAGTTTAAAAGAATGGTCTTCAGGACTAAAGATGGAGTTGATCATTTAAATAAGATTGGGGTCTGCTCGATATAATGTTCATGTGCCGTTTGTATCCGGCAGGCGGGAAAGAAACTAAAAAGCAGAATTAAACAACACCTCCCTCAGCCAGGCCATGCATCACATTTTAAAAATAATTTTTCACACCCACAAAAAAGTAATAAGGTAAAACTGTTGAATACCATTTTAAAAGGGAAAAGAATGGACTTTTTTGAAAAATTATAAATTAAGAAAAGAATGACGTAATATGCTTGAATTTGCAAAGTACTCAATTTGAGGATTTTCCCCTCATAAAATTAATGGCGGCTAATGAGAAGAAGACTGGCCAATAGTTTTATTTTTATTTTTAGTCCTCATTTGACTAGAAGGAGAGCAAAACCACCTACCGAGTTAACTGAGTACTATTGTTCAATTTTAAATTAGCTTTTATTATTAATTGCAAAAAAAAATATTTTTGTTGTTATCTTTATTTTATTATTTTACCTAGAAATAAATAAAGAATTATACAGGAAGACAACGTCTTTTTTATTGAATTAATTTCAATCCTGTAACATCAAGCCTCAATTAAAGGAATATTATTTATACTAATAGTAAATGAGCCAATCAATCGCCATGGAATCTATATAAACATAAATGTGATTAAAGACCGGTGTATAGGCCTTAAGATTTAATTTTATCGAGTTTTGTAGAGTTTCATAATTTTTATTTTGTACTTGTCTTCTACCAAATATTTTTCGGTCCATGCCACAGACCGATATATCGGCCTTTTGACATTATTTTATCATAATTCACGTGGAATATTATTTACATTGATTATAAATGAGCCAATCAATCGCCATGGAATCGATATAAACATCAATGTGAGTATTGACCGATAATCGACCTTAAGATTTAATTTTATTGAGTTCAATAGAGTTTGATAACTTTTTTTTAAATTTTGTGCGTGTCTTATTCCAAATGTTTTTCGGTCCATCCCATAGACCGATATACCGGCCTTTTGACCTTATTTTATGAAGTAGAACATTATTTATTCTAATAATAAATTGCCATGGAATTGATATTAACATAAATGTGAATAAAGACCTTCAGTTATCATATATTATATATTATATCGGCCTTAAGATTTAATTTTATTAAGATTGATAGAGTTTGATATTTTTTTTTTAATTTGTGCTTGTCGTCTTC